ATGACTTGCTTTTTACTTCTTTTTGAGTTCCATGTTATAAAGACAAAGAATTATCTATTAATTATAATATATTTTCTAATAAAAATAATAAAACTAAAAAATATCAAATCAAATGAAATTATGGGTTGTATGGATCATTCTTGTCTTCTGATGATTGTTCTTCATCACCTCCTTTAACACAAGATAAAACTACAACAATAATGGCATAAATGGAAACAAGCCAAATAATAATACTAGTGAAAAGACCAAAGAATCCAACATAGAAGAGAGTAATAATACCAGTAACAATCAACCATGCAATGGTAACTGGGGCATTCCAGAAATTAATATATTGTTTAGCAACTGGGATAAACATAGCCCATGGAGAAATAATCATATAGATACCATTAACCATTAGTAATAATGCAACAAATCCACAAATTACAGAAGCATTTGATTTAACACCATGAATTGACCAATTAGACCAGCCCCACTTACAAAGGTGGATTAATCCACAAAGTATTACTAATAAACCACAAAAGGCATAAAGCCCTCTAAGAATGAGAGTTAAATTAATTTTAATCATTGAATTATTATTTATAAGTTCTTTCTATTAGTTTTTTCATTCTTTTTTATTTCTTTTTACTAAAAATTGAGAATTTTCATTTGTCATTAAACTTCTTCTATCGCTCTTTTTCTATTTTAAAATTTTTGTTTTTTTTTTTTTAGAAAATAATAAATAACAAAAACAAAAAAAGTGAAAGAAAACACTTTTGTTAATAATCTAACTTGAATATTCTCTTAAAACATTCATTCATATTTAATGTTAAAAATATTTCTGCAAGGACTTGAAGAAGATCTGGGATATGGTGCATAAATATTTTGTATAATGCAAAGTCTAATGAAATATTTGTTATACGAAGAACTAATAATAAAATAAATTTTAAAACAAAGATGGTAAATATTATTACTGTCGATACAATGAACTAAGTGATGAAAATGAGATATAAAACTATAAAAAGTAATGAAAAAGATAACAAACACAATACAAGAATAATAAATAAATCTTCCCCAATAAGCTTTCATGATTTACTTTCATTTTTCTATTATAACGAATAAACCATATTAACACAGCAATTAATACACAAATAACAACAAATGTTTCTACATTAATGAATATTAAGTTAATTCTACAAATATAAAATAAAAGTTATATTAAAACAAACGGAAGAGATTGAGAAAAGAAATAGCATTAGATATATTTGAATATACAATTGACTAAAAGACATGAGAACATAAATAACAAGAATATTTAATAACAACAAACAGTACAATCACATGACAATACAGTAAATGAAATTGAAAGGGATATAGAAATAATATCATATAATATCATTGCTAATAATATAAAATAAGGTGCTTTTAAACTATTCCATGCTGTTTTAACACCATAAGTTACATTTTTGAAATAACCATTTCCCCAAACACAATATGACATAAACAAAGATAAAATATGAACTATATCACAAAATCGTTGTAATAAATAAATAACACATCCTTGAGTAGTAGAATAAGCATATAAACATAAACAACAAGTTTGGCCTGTGTATCAATATTTTAAACTACTTGAAAATAAATATTTTTATAACAAACATATTAAAAAAATTATTTCAATCAAAACAAAAATACTAAACGTTTTAGTAAATGGAGGATGTATATAGTTCCAATACACTTCAAATACAATAACAATTAATAGAATTAAATACCAAATAACAGAAAAATAAGCTAGAGGAGGATTAGGAAGATCGTTATTCATCCAAATAATTCTAAGTTCTTTTACTTATTTAATTCAAAAAAAAAAGAAAAACACAAAGTAATATTAATTTAATAACACAAATTAATTTATTAAGAGATATTCCTTATTGATTTTTTATATTTAATTTTTTCATTTTCATTGTTTTGAATTTAATATTATCATTCATTTGTTGATTTATTTCAAATAGAATTATTCTTATGTAATTGTTTCATATGTTATTTATTTTATTTCTTATTTTTTGGTTTATTCTTTTTCCGTTACAGTAATAATTATTTCATTAACTCCGTTGTTCTGTTTAGTATATAAAATTATTTTTAATTTATTCCTGTCTTTTTCTGTTATTTCATTATTAATATACAGTCTGTGTTTTCAAAATTATTTTTTTGAAGTAAAATTTAAAATTTTATGTATATTCTTTCATTTATTGTTTTATTCAATAGTTCTAATTCATTTCTACACAGTTATTTGGTTTATTTAATAAACATTATATATTTGTTTCATAGTTATTACAATTATTTGTTTTTCATATTATTTTTTATCATGAATAAATCACTTAATTATACATTTACTCTCAAATAAATTTATTCTTCAATCATTTCTTAATATAATAATATATAGTAAATATTAATTTTATGTTTCTTATTATTATAAAAATAATTCTTTGAGTAATAACTATTTTAGTATTGTTCAATACAACACTACCCCTTTATTTTAAGTCATTTTATTTATTTTATCTAATACTTATTTTTGATTATTGTATCTTTTAGTATATCGTTAGTAGTTTCCTTTGTAATTACTTTCTTTTTCCCTCTTTTATCAATCCTATTTTTCCTTCTTATAATTATTTTTATTATTATTCTATTCCATTATTTTATTCTTTATCACTCTTTGTAATGTTTTTTTTTTCATCATTATAACTTGTTTTTTGTTTTATATTTTTAATATAGTTTTTGAGTAAATTTCTATTGTTTTGGTAATTTACTTCAAATGTCTGCTTACTTATTCTATTCTTTATATTCTTTTTCATTAGTATATTTGATTTATTATCATAAACTTTATTTTTCTTCATGTCTAAATAATATTACCATTAATTTCTTTTTCTTTATGAATAAGTTTTACATCAACCATCATTATTCAATACTAATATTCATTGCTTCTTATATTTGTTTGTTTTCCTCTTTTTATATTGACTCATATCATCATCTTCTAAACTTATTACATTCTAAAATATTTCTAATAATATTCATATATCACTTTATTTTTGAAAAAAAATAAATAACAAAAAACACAAACTAATTTGTATTTAGAATTAAAATAAATGATTTGTGGGATATGTTCATCAACAGTTGTCTTGATAATAGTCTTTTGTGCACTTTTCTTCATCAAGTAACGTAGACATTCCTGCTAATAAAGCAGCACCTGTCCAAGCTAAGTACTTTCTGTTTTGTAATGCTGATATCTTAACATCTCTAGGATTCATCTTATTTTCAGTACAAAGTTGTTTAAGTTCTTTTTCAAGTCTTTCTGGTAATCCAGGGAATAACGTTGACCCACCCGATAAAATAATATGATTTAATAATGGTCTTCTTGAAGTTAATGGACATTTTTTAATTGTGGAAAATAACATTGAAGGAACTCCTTCAGCATCTATTCCTACTTTCTCAGGTTGGAATAAAGCCTCAGGACATTGGAATCGTTCTTGGAAGAACTTTGAAGTATTTTCATTGCCTGGAACTTGAAACTCTTTCATAACATCCTTTGCTTTCTTTTTCATTTCTGCATCATAATCTAAAGCGACATAACACACACTCTCTTTAATTGCTCTTACTAATTCCATTTGTGCAGATGTAGTGTAGATATAACCACAAGCCCTTAATAAACGAGACATATACTCTGTTAGTCCAGACACATTACCCTTAATTTTAGTAATAGCACTATCAATAACATACCCATCAACAGCTGGTACTATTTGCATTCTATTACCAATTTCAACTACAACTCCTGTTTCTTTACCTTCTGCATACAACGCCATTAATGCTGGATTAACTATTTTTAAAAATGGAACATTCAAATCATTAAACATCATAGATTTGATTTTATCTGTTGCCACCTCATTCATGTTCGGTAATTCTGTCATAACAACTGGATGGGAAGCTGGGTCGCATCCATCTAACTCATTCTCATAAATATTTTGAATAATAGCAAGTAATCCATCCCAATCAGTATCTTTTCTTGGATCAAGTGGCCATACTAATCCCTCATCTTCATCAATTGCTTTATATCCAAATTCTTTTCTTTCTCCTCCTTCATAGTCTTCATCTTCTATTGTACAATAACATGTTGGAATAACTTTTCTTGGTTGTTCTTCTCCTGCAACCCCAACTTTGATAAATGAACTTCCACAATCAAATACTAATACCGCATCATCAGCAATCTTACTTAACATTGCATTTGCCTTTTCTTCATTTTCGTGTGTGAAAAATGCTGACTGTGAAATCATAATTTTCTTCTTTTGTCTCTTTCGTTTCTTCTTCTCACCTGCTTGTTCAACCTCTGTTACAGTCTCTTCTTGTGGTGAATTTACTCCCAATGGAGGCAATCCTCCTAGTCCACCCATTGGTGGTAATCCTCCTAATCCGCCCATTGGTGGAAGTCCTCCTAGTCCACCCATTGGTGGTAATCCTCCTAGCCCTGGTTGTGCTCCAAGTCCTAATCCAGATGGTTGTGTTCCTAATCCTCCTCCAAGTCC